AGCCGAAGGCAGACGCTTAACGACTGAGCCACCCAGGCGCCCCATAAATAAAATCTTTTAAAAAAAACAAAAAGGAAGCCTGTATGACAGTCCTTCTCAAGGTGTATGTGGGGAGATAGTTTGGAGAGCATGGAAAAGACATACTGAATCTCTTGGGGAGACCGGTGAAGTTTAAAATTTCCCCCAAGCTTCTAATACACCCCATTAAGAAGCTATATGCCAACTACAGTTAAAAATCACTGCAGCGTAGTGGGAAGTGTTAACTGCCGGGAAAATTTTGCAAAAGTGGACCTTGTGGAAGCAGAAAATTGAGCACCACTACTCAAGGGAACAGACAAAAAGAGGAATGCTCATTTCTATCACTGCGGTGGGGAATCTGGGAAATTGTCATATAGGAGGTGATATTTGGTTTGAGTCTTGAAATATAGGCAGGAATTCATCAGATCCATTGGATTGGGGAAGCAGTCAAGGCAAAGGGGATAACATGAGAATGGCAGTGTGGCTATGGTGACGACTGTGTTTCTTAGCAAGGCCAGATGGGAGATACGACAGGAGACAGCAGAGGGCCTTTAAGACCATACACAGGAGCTTAGACTTCATCCCAGAAGCAATGGGGAGACTTTGAAAAGTTTTAAGAATGGTATTATACTTCAATCATCAGGAAGATCTCTTTGACAGCAAGCTGGGTAGAGGATTTGAGGAGGAGGAAGACTCTGCCAACACCGAAGGGAGGGAGACCATTTAGAATACTATTCCAGGATTCAAAGATAGATTCTGAGAGCCTGAACTAGGCCAGGGGCTCAGGGAATAGAGAAGGCACATGACAAAACAGTAGTTAAGGAGGTAGATTCCATATCACTTTGTGAATGAGAGGCTATGGGCCGTTCAGGGAAGGGAGCTGACTCCTATCTCACACACGCAACTGGTCACTGCATTAGCGGGGAGAAGGAATGCAGCTGCTGTAACAAAAAGCCCACAGACCTCGGCTTAGCAAAATCAAGACCAATTTCTCATGTTACAGTGCAAGGCCAGTTGGCATGGGCCTCACGGCACATGGTCATTCAGAAGCCCGGATTCCTCCAGCTAGTCACCCTGCCTGGGCTTTGGAGTCCTCTTGAGCCCTCCACTATATTCTCTGCATGAAAGCGAAGAGACTGGGCATGGAGGATTATGTAGGAGAATTTTATGGGCTAAACCTGGAAGTAATATACATCATTTCTGTCCATTTAGTCACATGGCCCATCAAATTGCAAAGGACACTGGGAAAGGTAGTTGTGTGTCCAGGAGGAAAAAGAGATGGGAGATTTTCTCCATCTCAGCCACCAAATCCTGGTTAATTCTACCTCCCCAATATCTCCCTACCCTTTCCTTGATACTTCACCTCCAGTGTTACAGTCAGAATTCAAGCTCTCATGATCTCTCTCTCACCTCCTAAATATAGAAAAAAAATCTAACTCACCTTCTGCCTCCAGACTAACCCCTCTGCAGTCAACCCTCAGTGGTGCCAAGGAACCCTGCTAGAATAAAGAGATGAGCATATCCTGCCCCTCCTTACAAATCTTTAGTGGCTCTGGGTCTCCTTCTAAACTCCTTAGCAGGGCACACAGGCCTCGTCTTCTGCCACTTTCCACCAAGAGCTCTTTGCTCCAGTCCTACCAAACATGTCTCCTTTCCACACCCATAGCCCTTATGCTCACCCTTTTTGGCCCTTGCACACCCTATCCCTTCCACTTGAATTCCCATCTCCTCCTTGACCACTTGAGGACCGCCTAGGCACCCTGCAAGATTCCCCTCTTTGTGCACAGTTCCAGATGCCCTCCTAAGTGCCGCTAACTTGTTCTGCCCTCAGTGTGCCCATAATATGTTAATTCTTGTATTGCTCGGGGTCCTGACAGGACAGGAAGACTGAAGAGACTAGGATGAAGGGACTATTTATGAAGGTTTGGGCAGCGCTGAGAAAAGTGAATAAGGGACAGTGGCGTACTCTGGAGCTGGCACAGTGGAAACTGTTACCAGCCTGGGCCTGAAGAGGCAGGGGGAGAAAGCCGGGAGGACAGGCAAAGGGGAGAGCTGTAAGCTGTGGTCTTTGCTAGGGCAATGCGGCCAACTTCCAAGCTGCAGCCTGGCCAGAAGGGAACAAAGGTCCTGACCTCTCTGTCCTTGCAGTCTCTCATCCCCTGCTACCAGTTCCCAACTGCTCAGAACCCGCTGGGAGCTAAAGGGTAAGGGAACCCATGGACACTGACCTTCAGGTCAGCTTCCCAAGGGCACAGAGTGAGGTGGAGACAGGGAAGAGTAATCTGAATGGGCAAATGGAGAATATCCAGCACAGCTCATTATGTGTCTCTTATTACAGTTATTCATGTACATCCCTTTCCCACCAAAATAGGAGTTCCTTAAATACATGGTTTTTTATTTTTCTGAATTATCGATGCTTAGCACAACCTTTGAAAGTTGCTAAAGGGTCGCTTGCATGGCTCAGCCAGTTAAGCGTCTGATTCTTGATTGCAGCTCAGGTCATGATCTCAGGGTCCTGGGATCGAGCCCCACGTCGGGCTCTGTGCTCAGCAGGGAGCCTGCTTAAGATTCTCTCTCTCCTCTCTCTGCCCCTCCCTCCTCTCAGCTCTCTCTCAAATAAATCTTAAGAAAAAAAATTGCTAAAAATAAAGGCCCCTCTTATAATATTTGAATGGAAAATTCAACTGACACTATCAGTTTATAAAATTTTAGGCTGCAGCGGTGGCAAAACCACTTCCCAGAGTTGTCTTACATGAAGAATATGGAGAGTTTTGTTCCATCTTCCTGACCTGCCTTTTCTCATTTCTCAGCCCAACAGGTAGGACGCGTGAAATCTCAATGCCTTCCAGGAACTATACCCCATACACACGGGTCCTGGAGTTAACCATGAAGAAAACACTGACTTAGGCACCTGGAGACACACACTTTGTACAGATGGACAAAAGCCCTAGAACCATGCGTCTCGAGGTCTGGGAAGGGTGACTACTGCTTCCTCCTATGTAAGTTTCAGCCAGAAAGGAGACTGCTGAGGTTCTGATCTACTTCTAAAACATGAAGGAAAAGTGAGGTGGAAGGGGAGGGCAGGAGAGAGAGCTTTCAAGGTCATATTTCAAACACCCAACCACGCTTTACTGGGCCATCGTTAGCTTTCCGAGTAGACACTGAAATTCTGTCAGGAGAATTCCCTCACAATTTATTTTCTGGTTTATGAGCCTTTGGTTGGGAGGAAAAAGGGCATTAATTTGAAATTTCATGTTATTCACACCAGGATCATTTGTTACAGCATGAAGGTTTTATTCACCCATAAAAGTATTAGAGGCGGTGTTTCTCTGGTGCCCAGAAGCCTGTCCACAGGCGCAGGGGCACCTGGGGAGACCTGACCCTGCCAGGGAAGGGTGCTCTCTCCTCTTGGTGGCCAGGATCTGTGTGGGGTTGTGGGAGCCACGGGTGGAGACTGGCCTCTTGCAGGCACAAGTGCCTCATTCTGATATGCTAATCCCTTGGTTTAATTTGTGCCTTATGCCTTCATGGGGCTCACTGAAATCAGTGTGTTTATTTCACCTGTGATTCTTCTTTTTCCCTTTCTCACTTTAACTGAAAGAGAATTTTGTATGTTGTGGACATGTAATCATTTCATGTTTTCAGTATCAATTGGTGTTTTTGTTAAATGAATAATTTGTTCATGCATGCTCTACTTTGATATTAGAACCTGTGTCACACGTTTAATAAATGCCATATATTTTGTTCTACCTACGTTGTCTCTGGATTTCATCCATGGCCAGGTAGAAGGGGGTAGAGAGCAGAATGGGGCTTGGGAGTGTCAAAGTCAGGGCCCCGGGATTTTTTGGTCAGTACAGTCCACAGAAGCATTTATAAACCATAAGATTGGGGTGTGTGTGTGTGTGTGTGTGTGTGTGTGTGTGTGTGTGTGTGTGTGTGTAAAACATCTTTGTATGCGAGCTTTTGTCCTAAATAAAAAAAATAACATCCTAGGTGGTGCCTGGGTGGCTCAGTCGTTAAGCGTCTGCCTTCGGCTCAGGTCATGATCCCAGAGTCCTGGGATCGAGCCCCACATCGGGCTCCCTGCTCTGCGGGAAGCCTGCTTCTCCCTCTCCTACTCCCCCTGCTTGTGGTCTCTCTCTTGCTGTGTATCTCTCTCTGTCAAATCAAATAAATTAAAAAAAAAATCTTTAAAAAAATAAATAAAAAATAACATCCTATAATAATGCCTCTATCAAAATTTTCATTTCAGTCCTTCTTGGCTTTCTTAAAACACACACACACTATTTTGTTTTGTTTTTAAAACACATATGGCACTACTGAGAAGCAGAATCGTGGTATTTAGGAACGTGGGCTCTGGAGACTGAGCTCAGTCACTAGTGTGTGCTTTGGGCAAGTTATAGAACCTCTTCAAGCCCCTATTAGATGGGATCCGTGATAGTTCTTTCCTAACTGGAGTTGGTGGGAAGATGAAATGACTTAATACCCATTAAGTTCTAAAATAGTGCGTGGCACACAGTAGGCACTTAATAAGTGCTACTCTCATTACAGACTTTGTAACCTCTTTTCACTTACTATATTATGATCATTCTATACAGATATGGATATACAGATCTATGCCACTGTTTCTTACAGTTAACTGGATTCCGTATTATTGATGTACTATGATTTACTCGCCCTACCCACTCATGTTGGAATTTGCGAAGTTGTCTTTACTTTTCTTAAGCAGTCCTCTGATGAATCATCTTATACATACACCTTTGTACACTTGCCTAATTACTTTCTCAGGATAAATCCCTACAAGAGGAATCACTGGGTCGGGTCAAAAATCATGCAAACTTCCAGTTTTTTGGTGCATATGGTCCAGCTGGGCCTGTTGCCATTTGTGTCCATGTAAATTCTTACAACAGGATGAGAATGGGGTTTCCTGACCCCTTTGCCAACACTGGGAATGAGAAATGAAGGAGTGTATAAAGTTGCTTGTTTTAGGCAGACCTGTCCCCCAAACAGGCAGTGAACAAAGTTCCTCAGGATATTGCCTTCAGATCCCTGAGCTGAGGGACTGTGCAGGTGTGAGCTGCAGGCCTGTAGGCGTCCCCAGGGCCCAGAGAGAGCATGGGCAGCAAACAGGAAACAGGCCTGGGCTTCGAAGGAGTGGGCTTTCTCCTAAGATCCTGGAATCAGAGAAGGCCTGCTGCTTAGTCAGAGGCAAGAGCCAGCCATGGAGGCAGGAAAAATTCAGGCCATGCGACTGAGTCTGAGTCTGAGTCTGGGTGGGACCTGCCCTGGAGGGCAGGCTTCAGGGCGGGGCAAGAGGGACATTTGGGAAGTGCTTGGAGTTGAGTGATGATGACGTGCCCTCCTCCCACTAGAGGGTGCACCAACCAAGGCTGGCCCCTGAGCTGGTGGTGAGTCTACCCTGGGAACCCTCTTCCTCCCCAACAAATGCTATCTTCCTGCTCCAGGAGCTCCAAGGTGGTCCCCCAAGGGCAAGGGGTGGGGTGGGGGGCATGTGACAGGAAGGGCAGGATTCCTTCCTGTCTTGGCTCAGGCCACATTAGACCACAGCACTCTTGATATCAAGACTTGGAAGCCCAGTTCTGTACAACCAAAGCATTACAGGTGCTGCCTGCCCAACGCGGGGGAGACAGGGATGTGCACCTCGAGACGCTTGCCTCTCCAAAATTGTTCCCGGAGAGTCAGTTTCCTCCTGAGCTTTACTGTCTCTGAATCCCAGGGGGACTTTTTTCCGAGACTTCTCTTGTCTTCTTACACCTAGTGACTGATCATGATGTCCATTTCCTGTCTCTCCCGAGATGTGAGCTCCTTGGGGGCAATTTCCCATAAAGGAGGGGACTCATTTCCACACCTCGATAATCATGAAGAAATCTACAAATGGAAAGTCTTCCAGAAAGAGCCATGGCTGGGGAAATACAGGAGACCAAGAGTTACTGAGGTAGGCCCAGCATATATCCACTAAATCTTTGCAACCACTCATTCTGTGTAAAAGAGGTTACTAGTGCCATTTTGTGGACAAGGAAACTGAAACTCAGAGAGAGATGAAAATTGTCTGAAACCACGCAGGCCTGCTTCCAGAACACAGGTGGGAAGCCTGGAGTCGGTCTCAAGTTTACCACTAAGTCACAATACCCGTTTGGTCAGGCCACTTCAAACTCAGTGCTCCCATAAGCAGTTTTGCCTAGAAATGGAATTACATCCCCCTCATAGGTTGGCTGTGCAGATCACGTGAGAGAGAATGGAAAAATTTTCCAGCACTGCACCAGAGACATGCCAACAGTTGATACTTGCCATTATTACTTTAATTACTGGGAATTAGGTGTTGCATCACGAATATTTACAGATCTAAGATTTCCTCTTATTGGACACAGACTAGAGACTCAGTGAATATTAGTGGGACTGTGCAGGGGGAAATAGGGAAAAAAATGTTCCTGGATAAACAGATTAAATAAACTGTAGTCTCCTTTTCCTCATATGTGAATTTGAGAATAACCCATTTGAATTTGTCAGAGAAGGGAAAGCCCCAAAGGGAGACTGGAGATGTGTTTCCGGGAAGAGAGGCCAGAGGCAAAAAGACCAGAGGGAGACTTGCCGCTAAATTTTGGGGTAATTTGTTGGACAGGATTAGATTATTAATACATGGTGTAGAGTATAAATTGTTTTAGCACCATTTGTTGAAAAGACTACCCATTTTCCCCTGATTCGCTTTGGTACCATTGTCAAAATCAATTGGCCATATTTGCATTGGTCTATTTCTGTACTCATTACTTTGTTATATTGATCTATTTGCCCATCTTATTCTAATAAGCCTTGAAATCACGTGGCATAGGCTGACTTTGTTCTTCCTTTTCAAAGTTGTTTTGACTCTTCTAGATCCCTTGTATTTCCATAAGTTTTACAGTCTGTCCATTTCTATCCAAAGGCTCTGGGACTTTGATTGGCATTGCACTGAATGAATAGATCACCAAGGAGAACACCAAGACTTCACCGCTAAATGGGAAGCCTGGGTGGCTCAGTCGGTTGAGCAGCCGACTCTTGGTTATGGCTCAGGTCTTGATCTCATGGGTCCTGGGATTGAGCCCCACATTGAGCACCGCAATTGGGTTCCCTGCTCAGCAGGGAGCCTGCTTAAGATTCTCTCTCCCCTTCTCCGTCTGCCCCAACCCCCACTTGCATTCTCTCTCTCAAGTAAGTAAATCTTAAAAAAACCCCACAAAAACCAAAAAACCTCACTGCTGAGTGTCAGGCCAACTTGGAGCAATATCACGGCCTAGCTGGTAGTACTAGGTCAGATCCTGAATGGTGGGGCTGTTTCTCCCTTCTTCAGTTGGGAAGGTACCAGGTAAAAATTTCCATAATGTATTTTGATAAAGGTATAGTATAATCTTTGTGGAATTCCGAACAAAATATTCTAAGAAACATTAATTTGTGCCCAAGGGCCATAAAACTCATGTAATTTGAACGCAATAAAATATAAATAAATAGCAAACAGTTCTTAGGGGTTTTCTCTTAATTTTTCAACACATACTTTCGAGTTTTAACGTATAGCATTTACAGCATTCACCTTCCTGAATTAGGGGTGGGAGGGGGTTAAGAAATAATTAGTAGGCAATTTTTTGGCCCTGGAACTTTTCTTGTAAATATTTTCTTTGGCAGCCATACTCTTGAGAACAGGAAGTTACTCTCTTGTTACAGATTTAAGACTTTTCTGAGCCAAATAACAGAAAGCTGGAATAGTTCTGAAATGAAGAGGGGGGAAAAAAAACAACTGTAGGCTCTTGCTGGAGATTAATGACATCTTGCAAATATTTTAATTCTCTGCTTTCCTCTTAACTTGCCACCTCCTAAACAAAACACATTCAGCCTGAAAAAACTTAACTGGTCACTTTGTGGCCCAACCCTAAAATAAAATATCTTTATGGTACCCACGAATTTATTTAAACATTTTTGGGGGGCTGGGGAAGGAATTTAGGACTGTCTCAAGTTAACCTTTTTTGGTCCCCAAATCCCCAAAATGGAATTGAAAATAGAAAATATAGTCATAAAGATGCTGATGTTTCCATGGTGATCATAAAGATTTATCATTTTCTTTGACTGTTTAAAATGTTTAATAGAGAAAAATGTTATATCAAGCTTTGTAAAAAATGACTGAGATGCGTACAAATAATTTTTTTTTTTTTAAGATTTTATTTATTTGAGAGAGAGAATGAGTGAGAGAGCGTGCACATGAGAGAGGGGAGGGTCAGAGGGAGAAGCAGACTCCCTGCTCAGCAGGGAGCCCGATGTGGGACTCGATCCTGGGACTCCAGGATCATGACCTGAGCCAAAGGCAGTCGCTTAACCAACTGAGCCACCCAGGCGTCCCCGTACAAATAATTCTTTAGGAAATGTTCAAAATAACAGAATTATAACCTTTAACTATAGCACTTATTAGTCTGACTATAAAACAAGGCAACTGGTTTCCTCCCAGAAAAGGCTGAGTCTTTTTGAGTTAAAATTTACCTTTTACACTGAATTCTAGAGAAAAAAAAAAGAAAAACCTGTAATCTCAATGAAATTTATAATCTAGGGGGACATTAATGCTATAAATTATCAGAGAATCATTTGTGGGGATTCTTGTTTTGTTTAAAAATTTTATTTATTTGATTTGAGAGAGAGAGTACTCAGGAGGGGCAGACGGAGAGAATCTCCAGCAGATTCTCCACTGAGTGCAGAGCCCCACGTGGGGCTT